GGTGTCTGTTTCCCTGTGTTGACTTTCATGGTGGATAGGTGAGCAATTGACAGTTGAGTGACCTGTGACTTAGTAGTTGTCTGGGTGACAGAATTCTACTATCCCTCCCGGTTATTTGGTTTTTTATTGCCTCTGATTGATGTTATAAACCCAGAGGTTCTGTTCCATCCTTGACCTGTTCCTAGCTGGTCAATTTCCTCATTCTGTCTCTACTGGCTATCTTTCACCATGGCTGCTCTAAGTCTACCCTTTCCAGTTAAGCTTTAGCTCCTGTGAAGAGTTTCAGGAAGTTATAGGCTCCCAAATGCTTCATGTCTGGGTCTATTCTCCAGGTATGTCTGTATTGGGAAACAGGGCACAATTGCATTTTAGTGCATTCTACAACTTACCTGGCATTCTATTGCCGTCATCTGGTGACTTCTAATGAAAATTCCCACCATTATCCCTGGCAAGGGGTTTGGTCTGTGTTGATCTCATAAAGAACAAGACCACGTTAAACTAGTCCCAGAAGTAATGAGCATTCCACATCAGACACTAAGACTTTGATGTACCGGAGAGTGTTTCTGGGGTCTATGGCCCACCATCTTCATCCTGATTCTGGAGATTCCTGGAGAGTGACTCTATTACCCACCACTTAGTCACGTGTCAAGGTTGGAATCGGGTTTCAGGCACGTGAACCCAGACTCAACAAAAAACCTTTATGCCTATGGATTCCATCCTTGACTGGAAACTGGGATTCTGAACTAGTTTTGTAGAAATAGCAAAGAGAAAAGATAAAAGAAAAACCCATCGAAGACTATGGGCCAAGAATCAGTATCTTGAGTGGTTGGAGGACATAAGGAAGAAAATGTTGAAATCTAGCTCCAAGGTGTCGAACCCAGGGATTGACAATCTGGAGGGTGAAAACTATCTTCCAGTTGGATCCATCCCTGAAGCATGGCGCCCGGATATTAGCAATGTAATGTACACTTGCTGATGATGGATTTTGTAGTTACAATCACAGGTTCTGAGAAGACAGATGGTGACATTTATGGCATGCTAAATGATATGCAAACCTAAGCATTGAAAATTATAATACTCAGGTAGCAATTGGAACATCTTTTCCACAACATTAATAATAGTCGAGTTTTTCCAAATAAAACTGCAATGGATTGAATTGTTTAAAAGAAAAAAAAAGGTTATTCCTTTTATCAATATTATGTCCTCATTTTCTCTTTTAGGATGTAAGGTGCCATGTCATCTTTACAGAGCCCACAGAACATTCCAGAAAGATAAAGTTGTCTCTTCCTTTTTCCAAATGAGGAAAAACATGGTATTGAAGGTCGTGGACACTGGGTGTGAAAAAGTGGTGTGTTTCCTCGTGTGCCATGAAAATTCTCTGATGATGACAGGCCCCCAACGAACAGTATTCTGTGTGGTTTATGGTTTCTATGGCAAGACGGGTGAACGCTTAATTATTAGGATTCAGAAAAGCAAAGGTTAAACCTCGCAGGAAGCTGATCGTTTGGAGTGGCGGTGGGGAAAATGTTGAAAAGACTGAAGGACATATGGGGAGCTAACGGAGACCAGCTCACGTGCCGCCGCCGTTTCGCTGAATTACGAATGCAGAGCGCACGCTCTTCCCAGTCTCATTTCATTTAAACCCAAATGGCTATGGGAAATGGTGTCATACACCTGGTGAAGAGCTCCGCTTCTTAAAAAATGTTATCACTTCACCCAAGAGACTGGTGTTGAACCAACAACAACATTCTCTCCGTAGTTTTCAAAATGAGCTAAACCACGTTGCAAAATACTCTTATTTCCACACACACACACACAAAAACCCAAACACGGAAAGAAAATAATTCAATTCCTTTCCCCCTGTGTGGCTCTGTTGACATCACTGGTGGCATTATGATAACATTACCCATTGCTTAGAAGGCGAAGCAGGTAGCTTTCCCCCTCCCACTTAAAGCTAGGAAGAACTAGGCATAGAAACATTTTTTTTTTATTGTTTGAGGTGAAAGGCTATGTTATAAAACAATAAGAAACAGTCTACCAAACTGTTTAAAACAAGAAACCAAAACCCACACAGTAAAACTTCAGCATTATATTAGAGAGAACAACAGAACAAAAACAGAATTTGTTTTTAGTTGGCAAATACACAAAATGAATTTTCATAAAATGCATTCAAAATAATATTTGATGCATTGGAGGCACCATCTCCATTTTGCTATGGTACATTTATAAATCGGATGCTGTACATTGTTGATCCTTGAGCCACATCGGGTATAGGCTTGTGTTTTTCTCGGTCTACTAAGTATTTAAAAATATTTCCTACTGGCTACCAACATTTGAAAATTAGAATAAATCTCAGGAAGATTCTGATTTTTAGTTCTGTTGGAAAAAACAGCCCAGAGGCCTGTGTTTCACGAGGTGTCAGCTGGGTAGGAACAGAGGCCAACTGCCTTCTGGCCAGTGTTTTGAGTGCACTTTTGGGGGCCAGGAGGGAACAGTCTTCAGGCTGAGTAAGGCTCATGGCTGGGTGATACCTCCTAGATGCCTGAGATGGCTCTCAAGATCAAGCTCTAGTTACTAAAGCATAATAAAAAACATACACTCTACACGTGGCCCCGACATAAAGGGTTATAGACATCTATTCTCGGTAGGCTTTTCTTGTGAGTTACCGTCAACAAGTTCTATTTTAAAATCCTTTCGGACAGAATTAAGCAATCAGATAATGTCACTCGCTAGCTCTATTTACAATTTACTTCTGGACCCAGCCCTCAGGTGGCCTTTTAAGGGAAGGTATTTAATTACTTCCTACAACCTAAGGGAATGTGGAATTACAAATACAGCCAGATTACTGCAGTGCGTGTTCGGTTCATAATTTGTTATCTTCTGCTCATTTCCTTCGCTCCGTGGTTTAAAATGGAGACACTCGCCGCCGCGGATATTCTAACAACACGTGTCAACTTTAAATAAGATTTTTAATTTGTACTTGAGAGAGAAAGTTGAGAAAACAGTGAGGTGTATCACAGGGCTGGGCTTGGTGACAAGCTAAGCGGAGAACCATAGGTTTCTAGGACATAAGCCTCTCCTCAAAGGAACAGGCATTGATTTGGAGTTGCTCACTAGTCATGTGATCTGTCTGCCCAGCTGACCTTCTGTACAACCAAGAGATGACCAGTTAATACTACGAATTGCATAGAATTACACATGCTGAAAACAAACAAACAAACAGGTTTTATGTACACACTTTGGTATTGTGTCGTTCAAGCACGGTTCCCAGCTCTTTTGTCCTGGGAATCCTAGAGCATTAATAAATTCAGGTTTATTTTTGAGAAAAGCAATTCTTGTTACAATTGTCTATTTCTTTGCATGTGTTTGTATGCAAGAATGCAGAAGGATACATATGCATGGCCACTGAACATGTGTTGAAGTCAGAGGTCAATTCGTAGAAGTCAGTTCTTTCCTTCCACCACGTGGACCCCAGGAATAGAACCCAGCTTCAAGTACCTTCACCCATTGAGTCAGCTCACTGGCCCAAAAGCGAATTTTGAATGAAGGGAATTCCAAAAGCTGAGAAACTTAAGAAAAAAATAAAAAAGTTAGCAATATTGCATTTTCATGACCTTTTCCTTCATGAATTACTCAGAAAACTGGATTCAAACTTTCCAAAATAAAAATTTCTTTGGCTTACCACTAAAGCATAATAATTTTTGGTTTAAAAGGAGCTGCTGGAGGATATGAATTGGAGGATTTTTTTTTTAAAAAAATAAAGAGATGAGAAAAGAAAGAAATCGGAGCACCAAACAGCACTAGCTGCTGCTTTAATTCGGGGGTTTGTAATTACTGGAAGCCATAACCTCATCAGACATGATTTTTAGTGGCTTGATTTTTGAATTTTTCCTCTCAGAAAAACAGAGATGTGTGTTCAGACCTGAAAAAGCCCTTCCTGCTGTGTCGGTTAGCATGCTGCCATGTATGGTTTGTCTAGAGGAAAGGAAGGGACATGGATGAGCGCAAAGAGAAAATACGGTTTCTAACCACGATGCGGAAGTCATAAGTGGGAGCCCAGTGGGAAGGTGGATGAGGAGCAAAGTTTTAGGCTATGGCCGCTTCCTTTACACTTCCCTGCAGACTGATTCTAAAAGCAAGGCTGAACCCCTAAGCTTTCATAGACGGATGGGAGCAGAGGCGCTAGAAACAAACAGAGGGAGTTTTTTGGATGCTGCCTAGGAAGGGGGGTGGGGGGAGAAAGAGATTGGAAAATGTTGCGAGCATTCTGTTCATGTTGTTACTTAGTGCAGTCTTGTCTCCCCAGCCCACTAGTCTGGAACAAAAGTCAGTCTCAAACATAACAACAGACACTGGGGAGTTCGCCAGCAAAAGATCACCTCCCAAAGAACAGGATGGTGATGGGGACTAATGCCAGGCAGTCCCAGGAAACAGAAAGACTGACGCTGCAAGCCAGGCTCCACAGCGTCTCCTTGCTGCAGAGGCCTGAGCCGCAGGGGAGAGGAGGGGACTGAGCTGATCTTCCCCATACAGGCAGGTAGGCAGACCTCTTTAGCTCCTGGAGGCCAAGGAATAGAAAAACAATGTATAGCTGAGCCCCTGATAAAGAAAGACCCTCTTCGGAGAAAAGTAAACAGTTCATTATGGCCTCAACTGCATACCATTTCCTCAAAATGAATCCCTAGTGGTGTTCTTGGTCCGATGTCAGGGCCTGAGCTGGGTGGCCAGAATTCACCTGGAAACGCTTGGGTGTTGTGGCACGTTTGTAATCACAGGGCCAGGAGGCAGAGACAGGCAGATTCCTGGGGATTACTGGCTCGCTGGCTTAGCCTACAATATTCACCACCACTCAAAGAATGACACCAACAGGTATTCATACATGTGTGTGCATTTATTCATGTATCCAACACACATGAACATGCATGAATACACACACATAAGCATGCGCATGTGCGCATGTGCTGAATCCCAAGCAACGGACAATTGGAGACGTCATTTTGATCTCATCTGGCCACACTGCACAATGTAGATAGAACTATGCCCATTTTATCCCATGAGCCCCTTCCTTTGATTGATTCCCTTCTGTTTAGTACCTGCCCATGACTGGGCTGTTTGCCAGATCTTGTGATCAGAGAAGCAGCGTCTGGCCTCTGCTTTGGGACAACTCACTTCAGTATGCATCGTTGATTTTGATAAAAGTATACTGTTCAGCAGAGGGATGGAGCGTGCCTGAGGATCCCAGGAGGTTGCTGTAGCTCAACCAGCGTGGTCTGGAGGCAAGTGGTCAGAAGAGGCCTGGTACTCAGCTGTTGCTTCTAAAAAGAAAATGGTTTCTGGCCTCTGCAGTTTGCCAGGGCTTTAGGTTTTTTTCTTCCTAAGTTCCTATTTTGATTCAGTTATACCCTTGGAGTCAGTACTGACAAAGTGATTGTTCTCTATCCCAAATTCCCTGGTGGTAACCCACCCCTATCAAATTGTTACCTAACCCTGCAGCTTTCTTCATTTCCACCAACTGTTGATGACCAGTCCTTGCTCCACCCAAAAGCATCCCTGGCACCAGCCACTCTCTCAGTCTCAACTGATTGTCTCAGGTGTATCTGCTAAGTCCCATTTCTCATCCTTCTTCCTCTACACGCTGGACTAGCCTGCACCCCCCCACCCCCCGTTTCCAGATCAGACATCTCTCTGTGTTACTCCACTGTACAGAAATTCTCCCACTGCAAACAGACTAGGACCCTAACACTTTGACATATTCTATAACGCAAAAATCCTTTACAAGAAACTGAAACAGATATCACCAATGCAAGGGTGCAGATAGCAAATAATCCCGTGAAAAAAATGCTCAATCATCAGCCATGAAACATTAATTTTAAAGTCCTTGTGATGCCACCCCACGGTCATGAAGATGGTTTCAGCACTCATGAGGCAGAGGCAGGAGGATCTCTGAGTCTGAGCCCAGCCTGTCTATACAGGGAGTTCTAAGAAAGCTGGAACTATGTAGTGAGACCATCTCAAAAACAAACAAAACAAAAACAAAAAAGAGTCACAGTGGCAAGAGGAGGCAGAGGAAATGGAGGTTTTGGACCCTGCTGGGTATGTTAAACTATGCTAACACTAGGGCAAACTGTTAGTTTATTAAAAAGTTAAAGCTCTACTTACCATATTGTTGACCCACACTCTATGTGTGGGTCTTGCCTAAGAGAGAAAAAAAAAGTTTGTCTAGGAAAAGGCTCATACACAACATTCATGGTCGCTCACTCATAAGTTCCAAGAAACATGAAGCGATTACAACACTCATCAAGAGTCCAACAACTAAAACTTGTGGTAGGACCATGTGACTGGCAGAGCAGTTTAAGAGTAAACACTAAATGAATATACAAAAACAATATAGATATAAAAAATAATACAGAGGTATAGATACTTTGAGTAAAAGGAAACAGGCAAACAAGTGTGAACAATCTGTATGAATCTAGTGTGACCACAAGTGTGAGCGATCTGTATGAGTCTAAGGTGGCCACAGTATTAACAGTCTGCATGAGTGGTGGCCACAAGTGTGAACAGTCTGTATGAGTCTTAGATAAACCAATTGGAAACATCATTATTTAGTGCTGGGCAGAGTCCTCCCCTCCTATGCTCTTCATATAGCCCTTCCCCCTGTACTTATCTGTGCCTAAACACATTCCTCTTAGAAGGATGCCAGTCAGCTTGGTGCTCACTCCGAGGCTCTCATGTGATTACCTGATGGAGGACTCTATCTTCATGTAGGGTCACTCTCTAAAGTATTGTCGGTTACCGTCAACCCTATGAGTTTTAGTGAGATACAGTTTATCTTATAACATGGTGGCTCCACTTTAATATTCTAGAAAGTGCAATCAGATCAACAGTGACAGAAATCAGAACCATAGTCACCTGGGATGGTGGGAGGAGTTGGTGAGCGGTTCAGGTGTGAGAAAACTGCAGCGGGATGGTGGACCCAATCCCGTTTTCACTGATGGCGGTGGGTTCATGGATGTTTGCGCATGGCAACGCTTACCTCATCGTATACTTTTAAGGATAAGTGCACACAGTGTTCTTTTAAGAAACAACTGGTATTCCCTTCCCTTCCCTTCACATTCTCCTCCAGTCCCAGGTCCAGCCTCTCCCTTATGCCCCACTCACCCTTACTGTCCTGCTTTCTGCAGGTATTTAAATACTGTCAAGTTTCTCAAACAGCCCCAGAAGCCCTTGCAAATGTCTCCCCTGCTTTGAATGTCCTTGCTCCTTTTCTGCTTCAGGAATACAATTTGGATACTCACTGTAGGCTCAGCGGGTAGTCTATCTGACTGCTTTCATGGATTTGTTATAATTATTTTGTGTGCTATGTAAATGCAAAAAAAAAAAAAAACAAACCAAAATGGGGCCAACAACATTGCTCAGAAGGTACTTGCTTCCCGTACTGAAAACCTAAGTTCAACCCCCAAGACCTGTAGGGTAAAGGAGAAAATTGACTCCCCAGAGTCAGTTATCCCCTTATTTCCACAGGTTCCCCTCACATAAACAAACACAGAAAAAAAATAGTGTAAGAATAATTTTGTTTAAGCCAGGTGCTGACGGTGCACGCCTTTAATCCCAACACTTGGGAGGCAGAGGCCAGCCTGGTGTACAAAATGAGTTCCAGAACAACTTGAGCTACACAGAGAAACCCTGTTTTGAAAATAATAATAATAATAATAATAATAATAATAAATAATGGTTTGTATTAAGTTAAGTTTTTGTTTGAAGTTAACCTTTTGGGGGCTTGAAAATAAGCTTTTTATTTTAGAATCATTTTAGATTTATAGAAAAGCGTCCAAAACCAGCCAAATTGCAAACATAATGCAGAGCGTTGACATTTTGTATTGTTAGAAGTAGGAAGTCAACCCCGGTACATTTACTACTGTCAAAATGTCAGACTTCATTCACATTTGAGGAACCTTCCCACTCGCGTCCCTTTTCTGCTCCAGGACCCAGCACAGAATGCCCATCACATTTTATTGTCACCTCATCGATGTCCTCCACTTTGTGATAATGTCTCACTCCTTGCTGCTCTGCTTCTGTTGGTTTGATATTGCTTTGTTTTAATATTGTTCATCTGGCCCCTAGAAGTTAAGAAAGAAAATCAATGATTTATGCAACCTCCCAGGTGCCTGTAAAGGATTCTCCAGACTCTAGAGGAACAGAATTAATTAGACAACATGACAAAGGGGACTTTAGCAGATCGCTTTACATGATTACAGCTAGATAGCCCAATGATGGCCATCCCCCAACAACGGCCACCTATGTCTACCCAATGATGGCCCTCTATGTCTTCCTGCTTGGAGAGACTAAAACAGGACGCAGTCCAGCAAGCTGGTGCTGAAGTCCTATAGGATTTCTGGAGAACCACTGGTCTTTAGTGTATACAGGAAGATTGAGGATGCTTGTTCCCAAGGTGGGGATACATGGTGGGGACAGCAGCAACAGGAACAGCAGAGCAGATGTTCTTACCAACAAGGAAGGAGGAGGGCAGGCAAAAGCTTCCCACGTGGGAGGACGGGGAGGTATCCAGGAGTACCTCAGAAAGGCCCTGCCCACTCTGGGGGAGGAGTTTCCTCTTTAAATTAATCCTTCCAGTAGATCTTAGATGCAATCAAACTGACCAGCAAGATGAGTCACTGCAAAGCCACTCATACCTTTTTGCCTGCCTTTTGACACTCAAAATCATCTAGAGGCGACTACTATTGATTACCACCCGTTTAACAGATGAAGAAGCCACTCAAACAACAGCAACCCCTGGCTAGCTTGACTCTCAACCACTGGTCTGAGGCAACCAGAGAACACGAGTTAGAAGGATGAATGGATTCATTTGTGCAAGTCTTTCTGCAAAACAGAATTCAGCGTAGCTAGGGACCTATAGAGAGTGCACACCCCCTTAGCTGCTTCCAGATGCACTCAACCTTGGTGGGTCATTGTGGAAAACATGCAGCCTAAGCCTAGTCTGGCAGGAGCTGCGTCACTGCCTGCCCCAGCCATCTATCCCGACCACAAACAACAACCACTGCTCCCCAGAGAGGCACCTCCCCTTATCAGAATAAACCACGAATGTACCAACCCATACCTGAGACATCTCAAACACAGGCATTTGCTGTGAGAAGGAAATGGTCTATTATGCTGAAGTATTTTTCTGGGGATCATGGAAGGAGTCCAAGCCTGGGCAGACTAGAAACCGGCTGCGGCGCCCCCTGGAGGCAAACTCAGCATGCACTCCCAACTGTGAGCCAGGCGATGAGCCTTGTCCATTCCTCTCTGGATAATCTGTGGAGTCCTCAAAACAAACTTGTCTTCCAGTTGTGTTATCCTGCAAGGAGATTTGTGGAAAATTCTCTGTTGTAATTGAAGACTGTTTTTTGCACCTTCATCTTACAGACGGTAGAGAGGCATGAAGAAATGACTGAAAGTTGAGCTTAGATGTAACTCTTGTGCTTAATGTGGGAGGAGGCAGAGGGTGAAGGCGGTTCCCCCAAATTTATAGGAAAGTCATCCCATGAGTGGGTTTTCTTCATAACAACAATAAAAGACCTGCCTGCTCTCCTCAAATCATTGGGCCCCATTTTAGCAGAGAGCTTGAGGGATTGGACCATCCCACGGGTTTCTGAGCTACAATGTCTGGTCAGTGGGAGGTGGCAGGGAAGATACAGTGCAGGCTACAGCAAAGCCACCCACTGGTGGGATGGAGTCCATGTCTCAGGGCACCCAGTCCTAACCATCCTTTCCCTATTGCCAATTTTCTGTCATGGAGGATGCAGCATTATCATAGTCCTTTGTCACCCCTGCTCAGCAGGAGCATGGCTGCCTGGGGCAAAGGGACAAGAACATGGCATATAAAGTCTGTCGGCCTGTCCCCGTCCACCCACTCCTATAAAACTAAAGAGCAACCTGTCACACTTAAGCTAGAGCTGACCCGTTTTCCACTCCCTCACCTTGATGGACTCTGCTTAGCAGCCTGCAGTGTCCCCAGAACACCTTTCCTGAGATCTGGGTTTGGCAAACTTTTCTGCAGAGGGTCAGAGAGGACAAAACTTAGGCTTTGCCGGCTGTGCCGTAGCTTGGACTTTGCTGTTGGGTTTTTACGGCAATAACAATAAACTCATGGAAACAGCCACAGACAATCCATACATGAATGAGCATGATTGCTGGCCAATAAAACTTTATTTACAAAAACCCATGGCTGGCCAGATTAGGCCCCTGGGTCATGGTTTACAGATTACTGCCTTCCATAAATGGCTCTAAATAGAGCCAAGAATTTCTAGGCAGAGAAGAGTTATTTTGCTTGTCATGGTATTTTTTATAGTTAGTATGTTCTCAAGAAAGCTCATTGCAAATCTATACCATATTCGTGGAACGATTAAAACTCAGAGACGTGCAGAATTAGGGTAACAAATCATTTTTATAAAGCAAAAATCAATACTGTTGAACTTAATGTGGTATTTACTTGTAAAGTCGTTGAAAGCTGATATGAAATTTCTTTCTTGGATAATTTTAACATTATTACTCAAGATCTTGTGTGTATAATATATTTTACTTGCTCATATCTCTCAATACGTAACCTAGCTCATGAGGTGATCTTTCTATTCTGAAGATGGCAATAACATTATTTTGGAGTTTGGCCACTGCTCTTTGAAATAATTCCTCTTAGTGTCTCTCTGTAGCATCCAGTTATTTCTCTGGCACAATCTCTGGGGGGTAAAATCAACCAACAAAACAACAATAGCAACAACAAAACCTAATTCTTTCAGATAAAGAAGCATAACCTAGATCTTTCCTGGAAATTGAAACAAAGATTTATGGTGCCAAGTCCAAGGACCATTGTCTATCAGATAACCTAGATAATACCAGCAGGGGAAAACACTGGAAAACACATCTAAAGGAGTCTCCATCTGGTCAGTGCTAACAGAGGGCTGGATTAGATCCTTAACCCAAGCATCCCCCAAGCTCATGGAGCTGGTCGCTTGACTTCCAACTGGGTGTCCTCTAAAGAGCCATCAAACCGCGGCACCAATTGCACCGCTGTGAAAAATATCACCTCTCACCCCACTGTGTAAATGGAATTCCAACCCAACCAGTCAAATGTTCAGGCTCCAACATTAGAAATTTTATTTTTGGTTATTTACTTATTCATTTTTGAGACAGGGTCATGTAGTCCAGGATGGTCCTGAACTCACAAAGCGGTTGAATCTCACCTTGAACTTTTGATCCCCCTGCTTCCAGCTACAAAGTTCTGGAATGATGGTAGGACAAGCACTCCCAGTTCATGTAGTCCTCGGTTTTGAAGCCAAAGGCTCATGCATGTTAGGCAGACACTTCACCAATAGAACCACATCACAAACAGAACTGTCTTTGCTATTCTTTCCCCACCTCTTTGTTCAAGACCAATAATAAACCCTACAATATGCATATAAATTTTCATATTTATTCCAAAGCAATTCTCCTGTGTCCTGGGGCAGTTTGCTAGCCCAAGCCCTCCAGCTTCCGGCCTTGTTACTATATCACTCTGGCTCCTTGATCCTTACTGCTATCTCTCTCTCTGTCTCTCTGTCTCTCTGTCTCTCTGTCTCTCTGTCTCTCTCTCTCTCTCTGTGTGTGTGTGTGTGAGAGAGAGAGAGAGAGACAGAGAGAGAGAGAGAGAGACAGAGACAGAGAGAGAGAGAGAGAAAGATCAAGCATATGTGTGGGGGAATTGTCTCTTGTCACTTTGTGGGACGAGGGTATGGAACTCAGCTCGTCAGGCTTGGATGCAGTGCTCTACTACTCAGCCATCTCTTGGTCGTTGTGTCCCCTTCCCACTCCACCTTTCTTGACGTCCATGCCCTAGAGTGGGATCTAAGGAGAAAAGTTACCTGTGTCATTCTGCCTCCCTAAGCCTCTTTGGTCTTCTTGACCATTTGCAAGTTGACTCCGTTTTTCTTCTTGAGCGTGTAGTAAAATCTGGATACTTCTATGCAGCTAAGACCCACACGTAAGGGACACCCAGCCCTCTCTGATGTAATGTCAAGAGTATACACCACCTCTTTTCATCTAGTCCAAATACGAACCTCAGGTAATCCAAATCAGGATGTGTTATAAAGACCTTTGTATTTTCTGGTCCTCCCACCCAGATATTTGGGAAGCTGCCTGTTTTTCACTATGTGTCTCTGAACAGATGCCTCTCCTTTAGTGACCCTCTTCCACTATCCTAGCCTAAACTGTGAGTCTAACCTTTGGACTTCCTCATCCAACCACCCTATTTTATCTTCCTTATGAAACATTCAGATCCCAGAATCATCCACTCATTTGTTTCTGTGTTTGTAATCTGTCTTTGCTGGGGTAGACTCTCGTCTATCTTTTCATCGCTGTATGCTCAACACCTCCATAAGTCCCTGGCTCACAGTGGCGGCTGGAAAAGTACTGTCTACGGTGGACATTGCCTCTAGGTCATCAGCCACCAGGTTCTCCAGTGAACAAGCACAGCAGTTCCTGCCTGATGGAGCTGGCAGAGCGCTCAGAAGGCGGCAGGTATCTGGGCACCTGATTTCCTTTATGTAACACCAGGAGGACAATGCGGAATAGCTTATTAGAGCAAGCACTCTGAGGATGCAGGATTTATGAATGTTGTGTCAAAAGAGAAGCAACTATCAGAGTGTGAAGATAAATTGCCCGGGGAAGGAAGCAAAAGGAGGAAGCGAGGCTTTGGAAGGTTCTTGGAATACCTTGGTACCCAGACATATTTTTCTTGTTCCTTGTATGTTTTTAAAGTAGCAGTAGGTTTTAAAATATCTTAATATCTATCACAGGACTTGGTAGAAATTAAAGATTTTGCCAGGCTCAGCGGAGGCATTAAAAGTTGGTAAGTGAAGTCATTGTTTGCCCCAGATGTCAGCAGGTTCTGTGGAGGCCCTGGTGTCCAGATCCTTAAAACCACAAAGCTCAGGTGGAGCGTGGTGCCAGATCCCCACCGTATTTTGCTGTTAATCATTTCCTGGCAGTCTTCCACAAATGGCTTTTTTTAAAAAAAAAAAATGAGAAATGAGCTGGACTCAAAATCTCAAATGAGCCCAGAGTGTCATGGCTTTCCCTGGTCCACTTGACATTTCAGGAGTCTATGTATTTTGGGTGCAGAGAACAACCATGGTTCATTCTCTCACCTGTTTTCTGAACATTCGGGTTCATTTGGTTCATGGTTAAAATCCTCATTACATTTGATTACACCTGCACCTTTCCCCATAAGTCATAGATAGAACAAGGAAATAAAGTCATAAAAAAAACCCTTACGTGATGGCCTTTCACAAGGCCATCTTGCTCTGACTCAGTGGGCATGTGCAGTTGGACTCTTAGAATCACGAATAGCAAAAAGAAAGGAATAAAAGTTAGGCTCTGTCTTTCACTAAATAAAAAAGGAGCAAAGACATTTTGATGTGACACGTAGGTACACAATAATTCTGCATCTGTTGTCTAGGTGATGAGTGACTTTCTCTTCTGATTTGCTTTATACTGAGTATATAACCTCTGTCCCCTCTTGGGGTGAAGCTTTTGAAGGAGAAATCCATTTCCTATGGCAATGTAGGTTGTATTTTGCTCAGTTCATACTTTGATAGAAATCGCCAGTTCTACTGAATATCCATTATGCAAGGAATATTGTTCGATTGCCATAAATTCAACTGAAGACAATTGAAACAAAACAACAAAACAAAATACGTACATGCCCCAGGCTTCTTTAAAAATGAGAGTCATTGGAAAGTAAGAAGTCAATGGACAGATTTTCTTCTCTTCCTCCCCATCTTCTTTCTTCCTCCTCTTCCTCTCCCCTTCCTTTTACTTCTTCCTTTAAATTCTTCTTCCTCCCCATCTCCTCTTTCCTTATTCCTTTTTCTTCTAGCTTCTTGCTCTTCCCTTCTTGCCTGATAGTGACTATTCCATGTGGTGCTTCTGTAGATGTTTTGGAGCCTTGAAAGAAAGATAAAGAAAATGTCAGGGTGTGGGGAGGGGCTGGAGGGGGTTGACGCTGCCATGTTGAAGCAGTTGCCAAACTAACATCAACAATCATCAACACAGATTTTTAGTGACAGGAAAACAACCATTTTTTTGTTTAAGCCAATGGATTATCGTTGATAGTCAGGTGTGGAAGACAGATTCAAAGTCCCCACATTATGCCACTGTATTTCAACAAGGACTGGAGAGCAGGACCAATTCCTTTACACACATTGTTACATGTTATATGTTTAAAAACACTGACACCATGGGCCTTGCCAGTGGTAGGTATTGTTTAAGTAACTGTTGGGTGAACCCTAGGAAGACTAATTCAACTCTACCAATAGCGTCATCTTTACCCAACGCCTCAATTACACCGTCGGTTTGAACCTAAGAAATCACCTTTTTATTTTGTATTTTTTCTTAACAGTTGTATTCTACAGACGGCATTCATTGCAGGAAACACCCGGTGGAGTTGCTTGTTTATTTCAGGATAGTCTTCATTTTGTAGCTTCTTCCATTTTATG